CGCAAGTGGGACCCTCCCCGCGAGCCGCATGTCGCCAGTTTGCTGCGCACCTGTTTGCTGCGCAACTGGGACCCTCCCCGCGAGTTCTGAGTGGGCTCATGTCGCCAGTTTGCTGCGCACCTGTTTGCATGCATGTAAAGTGTGGAAGAGAGCGAGTCTGATCGCACACACACGCACACACACACGCGCACACACACACACACACCCCTCTCTCTCTCTCTCTCTCTCTCTCTCTCTCTCTCTCTCTCTCTCTCTCTCTCTCTCTCTCTCTCTCTCTCTCTTGCGCGTGCGCGCAACTGGGACCCTCCCCGCGAGTTCTGAGTGGGSGCATGTCGCCAGTTCGCTGCGCACCTGTTTGCATGCATGTAAAGTGTGGAAGAGAGCGAGTCTGATAGCACACACACACACACACACACACACACACACACACACACACACACACACACTCACACTCGATCAATCAATCACTCGATCAATCAATCAAATTAGATCAATCAATCAATCAATCCATCAATCAATCAATCAATCAAACCCTTTTTTTGTTTATTTTTTCAAATTTTGCATCTGCATTTTTTTTCAAACACCTCATTTCCCTGCAAAAAACAGAAATTCATTTTTTTTTAAAACACAGGTCGACTCGGGGACCATATATCTCATGATAAATAATGACAAAAAAAAATTCCTGCTTTTCTTTTTTTTTTTTTTTTTAATTTTGTTTAAAAACTTTTAGTTTTTGACTTTTTTTAAAATCTTAAACAAAGTCGGATTCCCAAAAAAAAAAAAAAGGAGTGTAGGGTTTTCCAAGCCCTACACCCCCTTTTTTTTTTTTTTTTTTTTACGTATTTTTAGGAGGGGAAAAAAAAAATTGAAAAACCAGGCCGTGGACCTGGCCTCATCGGCCGCGGCCGCAGCCGAGAATCTCGGCCGCAGTGGCCGAAATGCCCGCGGCCTAGGCCACGGGCGTCACATAGCCCCCGACCACCCCGACCCCTGTAATTATCAATACCATCTTACACCGGGATTCGTTGCTGTTGAAACCGACTTCCCTCCGTTCTATCTCCTTCTCCCTTATCACCATCTGACGGTAGTTCCCTGGGATTCGATCACGCACTGCTGGCCCCGGAGGCCATGTTCTGAGTGTCATCAGTTCAACACCTACCGAGCGGCGGGATTCGTACGATGCACCCGCACCGAAGCTGAGCACCGAGAACACAGTCTCCGGCTGAGGTTGTCCACGTCGGAGTCGARGATCTGTGAAACCCGCCGGTGACAGGTGTTTGAACAAAGAGACACCCACTGTGTTCCATCAGTGCACCTGGTGCAAGCCCGCCCAAGGCGACGGGACCGGTGAAATTAGCTGCTCAGAGACCACTGACATTTCCATCCYTGAAACTTGACACGGGACTGACCGGAGATCTCAGTTCCAACCTGGGACTCCACCCCACTTTCCTAAAATCCTTGGCACACCCCACCTACGCACTTCAGGGCCCCCCTATCACTCCGAAAGCAGGAAGTCGCGCTGGGCGTGAGGTCTGGGCGTCACAGCCCAGGATGGGGTACAAATGATCTCCTCATGAGGCTCTATTCCATCTAGCATCCGAAGTGCCCAATCAGGGCTGGGTTTCCTTGCTCAGGGCTGGTGGCTGTRATTACTAGCTAAGGGCTGTCCGCCTAGATAGGGATGATTGTAGAAGGGAGCACCACTATGTGCAGGCATCACCATGGAGCACAATCAGCGTCCTTATAGGGGGTGATTGTGTGACGGGAGGTGTGCTACACTGAATTGCGGGTGKTGGGCTGGGCTATGGCGTCTGCCGTGAGGTTGGCCCTGCTGYGCGGGTGGCGGGTTAATATACTAGATGGACGATGGACAAACCGAGTGTAGCCTAAGAGCTGTAGCCTATAGATAGGAGAATAGGGGGAGCGCCAGAAGAAATGTGGAGCTTAGAGAGGAAATGAGGCCTCATGACCGCAGGATACCAAAACACAAAAAAAAGAAGACTCTCCACAAACAGGCTATGACTTGCAGCTATGTGGGTAGAGCACAACGCCCCAAACTCTGTGACAACCCTGGGCCAGCTGACGTAGGCATTATAGGCATACTAGGCAATGTAGGCCTAAGCATGTGATCTGCACTCAGTCCTTTCGCCATGAGGATGATGAGAATACTGTCAAGGACTCCAGGCAATGATTTGTTTCCACACATTTGATGCCCCTCCCCTCAGTCCCCTGAGTGGCACGTCCAATGTGCCGAGAGGGGCACCGCGAGTCCTAAACAATAAAAACAACAAGTTTTGTATAGTATACAGGCAAACACCAAAACACTGTATACAACATATCAAAGGGCCGAAGAAAGTAGAGACAAGGAAGAATAGATCAGCAACACAACCCCCCCCCCCCCCCCCTTAGCGCTATTCGGCTTGTAAAGTTTGCAATGAACGATGACAAACATAGAAACAAAACTAGGCGTGGACTCCATAGAGTGAAAGTTCAGGCTGGTGAAAGCCGCGGGTTTCTGTGAGTGCAGCCTGTGCAGGGCCTGCAGGCCATTCATTCATCAGGGGTAAGCACCTGATGTGGAATTGCTGTGCCTATATGATCGCAATCAGCAATCAGGAGACTTCTTTGTTACCTAGTAATACTTTTTTTTTTTTTTTTTTTTTTTTTGTTACCTAGTAATACTAACAATGCAAGTCATGTTGGATGTGATATGAGCATAACGAAGAGAACAGACAAAATGCAAGGTGCAAGTATGCAGAAAAGCAAACGGGTGCAGACACTGCAGAGGCCTTGGGCGCTGAAACACACAAACACACTAGCGGGCCTGGCGCTACTCACACGTTGCACAAGTGGAAAGGCAGTTTCACCGAAACGTCAGGATCGTTCTCACATATCCACCCGCAAATACTCTTCCAAA